GTGATTAAATACCACCAAAATAAAGCTCTATCTGTCTCAAACAAATGATAAAAATTTCATATGAGTACAGTGTTGCATGACCGCGCAATTGTCATTCAAAGTGCAACAGCGCTGAAAGCTGGAAATTGGCCTGGGCAGGAAGGGGGTATAAGTGCCCTGTAGGCTTGTGGTTATGTGTACTTTAACATCTGACAGGGGTTCTAACTCTTCACTGCTCCACTGACACTGTAAAAAATGTTTGAATTTTAACTTTTAACCCTTTTACTGGGAGTGTGTGTATCTTTCAAAAGCCAACTGTTGGCTTTCTGACTCCCGGAAATGTAGCCCACCACTATGATTTCCAGGCTCCGCTGTCCAACCTACATATAAAGAGTCACCGGCCTCTTTATTAGGTACACCTCTTTAATTGCTTGGTAACACAAATTGCTAATCAGCCAATCACATGGCAGCAAATGCATTTAGGCATCTAGATGTGGTGAAAAAGATTTGCTGACGTTCAAACCGAACAACAGAATGGGGAAGAAAGGGGATTTAAGTGACTTTGAACATGGCATGGTTGTTGGTGCCAGACTGGCTGGTCTGAGTATTTCAAAAATTGCTGATCTACTTGGATTTTCATGCACAACCATCTCTAGTGTTTACATAGAATGGTCCAAAATAGAGAAAATATCCATTGAGCGGCAGTTGAGTGAACGGAAATGTGTTGTTGATGTCAGAGATCAGAGGAGAATGGGCAGACTGGTTTGAGATGATAGAAAGGCAACAGTAACTCAAATAACCACTCGAAACAAACAAGGTATGCAGAATACCATCTCTGAATGTACAACACTTCGAACCTTCGAACCTTGAAGCAGATGGGCTACAGCAGCAGAACACCACACCGGGTGCCACTCCTGTCAGCTTGGAACAGGAAACGGAGTCTACAATTCACACAGGCTCACCAAAATTAGATAATAGAAGATTAGATAAAGATTGCCTTGTCTGTCTCAGCTGTGACATTCAGATGGTAGGGTCATAATTTGGCATAAACAACATGAAAGCATGGATCCATCCTGTCTTGTATCAATTGTTCAGGATGGTGGTGGTGGTGGTGGTGTGGTGGGGATATTTTCTTGGCACACTTTTGACCCCTTAGTGTCAACTAGTGAGTACTGTTGCTGACCATGTCCATCCCTTTATGACTCCAGTGTCCCCATCTTCTGATGGCTCCTTCCAGCAGGATAATATTGCATGTCACAAAGCTCAAATCATCTCAAACTGGTTTCTTGAACATGACAATGAGATCACTGAACTCCAATGGCTTCCACAGTCTCCAGATCTCAATCCAATAGAGCACCTTTGGGATGATCCCCTCATGTTTTGCATTGTATTGGTATTGTTCTGTCACATGTTCTGTCCCCCTTTGTAATGTACAGCGCTGAGCGAACTATTGGCGCTTTATAAATACTGTATAATAATAATAATGTGGTGGAATGGGAGATTCGCATCATGGATGTGCAACCAACAAATCTGCAGCGACTGCATGATGCTATCATGTCAATGTGGACCAAAATCTCTGAGGAATGTTTCCAACACCTTGTTGAATCTATGCCATGAAGAATTAAGGCAGTTCTGAAGGCGAAAGGGGGTCCAACCTGGTACTAGGGAGGTGTACCTAATAAAGTGGCTGTTGTGTTGTGTATATATATATATATATATATATATATATATATATATATATATATAAAAGTGGGACACTAGGAGAAGACTGCGGGACAAAGGAATTTGGTCTGAACCACCAAACGAGCTACGTGGACCTACACCTCTAGACCGAAAGAAAACCAAATATTTCCCATGAATAAATTGCAAATGATAGAAAACACGTAGACATGTGAACCAGGTTTTCTTATTCCAGTTTTCTTAATTCAGTCGTGTGCCAAACTAAACTTGGCACCATGTGAGGCCTCATTAATGCTCCCCCTCTGTACAATAATGTCCACATTTCCTGTTCTGCAGCTGGTCTGCGCCATAAGCTGTGCCATCCCCTACGCTAACGCTGTATAATTTGGGATCTAATTTGTTTTATTTCCTAACGCCGAAAGAGGTCAAAGAAAACATGAAAAGTTGTATATGATTGGATACATTTATGACCGGGACACAAATCACACTATAAACGTGGGCGGTTGAGGAAGGGCAGTAAATGTGTAACGCCTGTATAGAGTGATGACTTTGGCTCTAACCAACATATTGTCAACAGTTAGACAGTACTTAGGGATTAATGGCAGGTAACTGGGGAACGTTGTCTGCTTTTAATACCAGTTCTGGATGACCGCACTAGACATAATAAGCGTTTAGCCAAGAGCTGGGAGGGGGTGTTTGGAAGATGTGTGTTACTGAAAGTGTCTTCGGTTTGCTGCTTCATCATAGGAAAGTACAAGTCTGACTTATGAATGATTAAATCTGAGCCTCTCTCTCTGCTTGAAATGCAGCCTTTCCACAGGTCAATATTTCAACTGAATAAGCGTGATGCTATAGGCAAATGTTTCTGCATGTAAACGCTTAAAAGAAAAATGCATTGTTGCTAAAAAGTTAATATAACATTTGGTGACACAAGTTATTTTTAAAGCTAAACTCCAGAAAACCAGATAAATAAGGATAGGTTGTGGGATTTTAAAGGTGCACAACAATAACTAGAAAAATGTCTTCAAAATTCTTTAACAATTTATTAATGTCAGTAAAACTACAATTAAAATAAGATTGGTTGCAACAGACTTGACAATCACAGAACACTTGACTAATTACTGCGGTATACAGATGTTACTTCCCGACAAGTTGCGCCCCAACCTGGGCTTCTTCAGGGAAAGACAAAAGATATCCATAATACAGTAAACTCTCCCCTCCTCTGACCTCGCAACCGCCCTACCCCCCACCACACCTAACATCCCGCACACTATAACCTCCCCAACACTCCGCTCCTTCAGCCTTGCTACCACTGAGGAGGTGACTAAGGTCTTCTCAGACGCCCGCCTCACCACTTACCCCCTTGACCCTGTCCCCACACAACTCCTCTGGTCACCCTCCTCCTCCATCCTACGCTCCCTCACCCACATCTTCAATCTCTCCCTCTCTACTGGTGCATTCCCCTCCCCCCTAAAGCACGCGCACATCACCCCCATACTCAAAAAACCCTCCCTGGACCCCACCGACCTGAACAACCTTAGACCCATCTCCCTGCTGCCATTTACTTTCAAGCTTCTTGAGCGCTTAGTCTACAACCGCCAAGTGCCCACCTCACTGACAACAACCTCCTCGATCCATTACAGTCTGGCTTCCGTCCCCTACACTCCACCGAAACCGCCCTACTCAAAATCACTAATGACCTGCTAACCGCCAAAGCTAATGGCCACTACTCAGTCCTCTTACTCCTCGACCTCTCTGCGGCCTTCGACAAAGTTGACCACCCCCTCCTCCTTAATAAACTACACTCCCTCATCATCAGAGACTCCGCTCTCTCCTGGCTCTCCTCCTATCTATCCCAACGCTCATTCAGCGTTACCTATAATGCTACCACCTCCCCCTCTCTCCCCCTCTCTGTTGGGGTCCCCCAAGGCTCTGTCCTCGGGCCCCTTTTCTTCTCCATCTACACCTCCTATCTTGGCAAACTGATATACTCCCACGGCTTCAACTATCACCTCTACACCGATGACACGCAAATTTACCCCTCCACCCCTCGCCTCACGCCTTCAGTCTCCGCCCGTATCACCCACCTACTCAACGACATATCAGACTGGATGTCGCTCCATTTCCTCAAATTGAACCTTTCCAAAACCGAGCTCCTAATTTTCCCCCCAGCCCACGCCCCCCCCCCCCCACCCTCTCCATCACGACCAACAACGCCACCATCAGTCCCACCCCACAAGCCAAAGTCCTATGTGTCACTCTAGACTCAAACCTGTCCTTCCAACCCCATGTCCAATCATTGGCAAACTCATGCAGGCTTCACCTCCACAACATCTCCAAAATACATTCGTTCCTAACCCCAGACACTACTAAACAACTCATTCACTCCCTTATTATCTCACGTCTGGACTACTGCAACTCCCTTCTCACCGGCCTACCTCATCACAGACTATCCCCGCTTCAGTCTATCCTGAACTCAGCGGCCAGACTCATCCACCTTACGAACCGTTCCGCTTCTGCCACCCCCCTCTGTTATTCCCTCCACTGGTTCCGATTCCACTGTCTACCCCAATCCATCAGACTGTCACTTACCCTCCTCACCTTTAGGTGCACCCTGAAAACCCATCTCTTCAGGGAAGCCTACCCCGCCCTCACCTAACAGCCAATTTCCTCCACTCCTCCTACCACTCCATCCCCCACAGCCACTTCCTCCTGTACCACTATCCCCTCCCTCCTAGATTGTAAGCTCGAAAGAGCAGGGCCCTCGAGCCCCTCCTGTATTGTTTTGTTACTGTATTGTCTCATGTCTTGTCCCCCATTCTACTGTACAGCGCTGAGCAAACCTTCTGGCGCTATATAAATACTGTATAATAATAATACAGTCTAAAATTATATAAAAAAATACAAAATTAATTTAATAAAAAATACACAAATATTTTGCAATATATATCACACGGTAGTGCATAGACTTATACTTCAAGAAAACTAATTGTCCAGATATAAATGAACCCCCTGCTTACCATTTGGGACTATAATACCAATATAACTCTGAGATGGAAATAAACATGTGTTAGGTCAAGGACTCAAGCGTCCGTGTGATTGCAGGAGGTAGACAGAGGGCCGAATTCTAACAAGACAAAAACGCTTACAGTACATGTCTCATCCTTTCCTCACCCTATGAATGTACAGAAAAAAGGAGAAGCAGCAGACTGACTCTTTGGTGTCCTTTTATGAAACAGAGATAAGCAGTGATCCTGAGGATTGTTGCTGATCTCCGATCATTAATGGTTTAGGAAACAGAGATGATCAGTGGAGAAGGAGTATGAAGGAGCGATGTCAGCCCTTCACTGGCGATCTGTATTCTCCCTCCAAATTCTCCAGCCCAGACTGACCATTTGGAAACTCAGGCACTGCCCGAGGGCCCGGGGTCAGTAGGGGGCCCCATGAGATGCCCCTGGTACCTTTTTCATAGGCTTTTTTGAGTATGGGCAAGGACACAGGGGCCCCATGAACCCATATTGCCCGGGGGCCCCATGAGTTGTGAGTCCGCCCCTGATTGTAAGCTGCAATAAGTTAAATTTTTGGTTTTGGGTTTAATACCGCTTTAAACACTTATTCAATTAATTAATTTATTTGTTTCAGGTACTTATATACCATCAATTTACACAGCTCTTTACATACATATTGTACAGTCACATCAGTCCCTAACCCTCAAGGGGCGTACAATCTAAGGTCCCTAAATTATTTCATACATACACATACTAGGGCCAATTTAGACAGGATCCAGTTAACCTACCAGCATGTCTTTTGGAAAAGTGGGAGGAAACCGGAGTAGTCGGAGGAAACCCATGCAGGCACAGGGAGAACATGCAATCTCCAGGCAGGTGGTGCTGTAACCGGGATTTGAACCAACAACCCTACTACACTTACAGTACATGTCTTATCCTTTCGTCACCCTACGACTGTACAGCAAAAAAGAAAAAATCAGCAGACTGACTCTTAGTCTCTCTGCTCTCTCCACCGTTCAGCATGCTCCTTGTTAGTGTATAATTAAAGCAGAACAAGGGGTTGGCTCATTGTGCTGCTTCCTTCTGTCAGTCTAAGCTCTGCTGTACAGGGACTGAAAGAGGCTGACCATTCAGGTAGTTACTGATGCATTTTTAAAAATAAATACAGTATAAAGATACAATAATGAATCGAGAGCTGCATTCATTTTGTCTTTAAAGAAGTGAAGCCTAAGTTCAGTGAGTGTATACTGAGAATCAAAAGTTTAAAAAAATAGTTCTAAAATACCATTTTATTAATCTTTTCACAGCGGCCACATGATTGCTTCCACTATCTTTGTATTATGTGTTGCCGTGGCTGGGAAAAAAGGAGCAACAACTTGTTACTGCCAGTAATGTTCCTGTTAGGTCCTGGATATCAGCTCCCAGCACCCCTTGCACTCTTGAAGCGGCTTGCAGTCAGGCATGGCAGGAATGTCCGGTATAGCAGTAATGAGCGAGATGACGTACGCTGACAATCAATAGGCCTACAGGCACACTGTGCTTTGGCATGTAGCACTACCCCCTTAGGAGTCGCTAAGTTTTGGGTCCCCCTAAGTTATGCATGGCCAGGCAACATGCATTTTCCCCACTTTTCACACTGGAGGCAAATAACAGTCCTTGAGCTTTGATTTGTGATTTTATTAAGGGGTTAAGAGCTTGGATAGGGTCTAGTTGTATATAGGATGCCCAAGGTACTATAGAACTTGAGGACAAACTCCTTAGCAAGTATGTACAAAAATGTGGATAGCAACAGTTTCTTTCCTTGAAGAGCTCCAAAGACTCTTCGTAGTGTACCTCCTTAGACCCCGGACTTCTACTCCACTTCACCCTGCTGCACTGAGGGTATTCCCTGGGCAAGGGGGCCCAGAAACTGCCAATTTAGCACAAGCAGTCTCAGATGAGAAGCTAGTTGGGTCTTTCCCCTGATGTCCCTCTCTCCTTATCCAGCCCAGGGGGTGTAAGAGTGCTCACACTGTCCTCCACTGTCAGCTTAGTGGGTTGGTGGCTGCCGTCAGGCCTTTCGCTGGGCTGGTTCTTTCCCCGCTGCTCAGGATGTCCTCCTCAGGAGACGTAGTACAATGGAGATCCTCTTTTCCAGCAAGCTTCCTGTAGGTAGGCTCCTTCCCTGGGGCCCCCTCCCAGGTTCAACACTCCAGCCTTCCTCACTCCATCTTCCACTTGACACTGCCTCTGCTCCCCAGGCTCTGCCACATCTGGGGTTTTCTCTGTTCACCATGCTCGGCCTCCTGCCAGGGGATAGGCCAGGGTCCCTTAAACATGCAGATCTGGACCTCCTCCCCTCCTCCAGAAAACTCTCAGATTTCTAAAGAGATGGTAGGGCTCCAGAAACCTTTACTTGTAGAGCCTCCCAGCCTATACTGATGTGTCCTCACTACCTCACTCACAGCCTGACTCATCCCCGGCTGCTACTCAGCCTCTAACTAACAAAAGAAAAAAAACAGCCTATCTGGCTAACCTGAAAGGTGTTACAGGCACAAGCACACATGGAAGGGTGACAACATCACTGCTTCGTTGGAAGGTAAGCATTGTCTCCCTACAGCAGGACGACCTTTGGCCAATACAGTGATCTGAAGAATCAGAAATTCTTAAATAAAGTTAGAATTTGTGAATCTGTTGCAAAACATCTTGCCTGAAGATCCTGCCAATAGCAGCACTGACAGTGCTAGACCTCTGCCTCCAGTCAGCAGTGGCATTGTCAGCCTGCCCTTTGTGCTCCTTCAGTTTGTCATTGAGCTGCCTTTCATGTCTGATCACGCCTCCTGCAGACCCCATAGGCACCATCAGCCAACTGGAGGAGCATGCTCAGCAGGCTGCCACCTTTGCCGCTAGATGTGAGGGAGTGGCTTATTGTTAGCCTGCTACAGGAAGTACTACTACTGGCAGAATCACCAAGCAAGGGACTTTGCATCATATTTACAAAATATGGTTCCCTTAGGGCCGGTTCACATCACAGTCCAGTGTGGGGGTTTTTTTCTGCATCAAGAACGCATGGATAATAGGTTATATGGTTTCCAATGGGATAGTTCACACCAGTGCAGTCAGCCCCAGTGTGTTCCAGTTACAGAACAAAAAGTAGAATGTGCTGTATTTATCTGCACTGAACTGTACTGAAACCTTGTAAAATGCATCAAAAACGCACCTACATACATCAAAAAAGCACCGGACCCCAGTACAGTGAAGAAAAAAAAAACAGGAAAAAAGAAGAAAAAGCATCTGGAACCCATCCGCAAACTCATTAAAAATCGCATTAAAAATGTGTTACAAATGCGCATGCAGAAACGCATCCAGAACAAATCTGGAGTGCGTTTTTGTGGTGTGAACTGGTCCTTAGGGCCGGGTCACATCACATGCAGGCCAGTGTGTTTTTTTGTCTGCATCAAAAACGCATGCATTATTATACAGTATTTATAAAGCGCCAATAGTTCGCTCAGCGCTGTACATTACAAAGGGGGACAGAACATGTGACAGAACAATACCAATACAATGCAAAACATGAGGGGATCGAGGGCCCTGCTCTTTCCAGCTTACAATCTAGGAGGGAGGGGATAGTGGTACAGGAGGAGATAGCTGTGGGGGATGGAGTGGTAGGAAGAGTGAAGGAGGTCGGCAGGTTAGCAGGGGGTGGGGTAGGCTTCCCTGGAGAGATTGGTTTTCAGGGTGCGCCTAAAGGAGAGGAGAGTAGGTGATAATCTGATGGGTTGGGGCAGGGAGTTCCAGAGGATGGGTGAATCCCTGGAGAAGTCCTGGAGGCGGGCATGGGAGGAGGAGATCAGGGAACTAGAGAGAAGGAGGTCTTGTGAGGAGCGGAGTGTGCGTGCTGGGCGGTACTTGGATATTAGGTCAGTGATGTAGTTCGGGGCAGTATGGTGGACGGCTTTGTATGTCAGTGTTAGGATTTTGAATTTGATCCGTTGCGCAATCGGAAGCCAGTGGAGGGATTGGCAGAGGGGGGTGGCGGAGACAGAGCGGTTGGAAAGGTGAATGAGTCTGGCAGCCGTATTCAGGATCGACTGAAGCGGGGATAGCCTGTGGCGGGGCAGGCCAGTAAGGAGGGAGTTGCAGTAGTCGAGTCGTGATATGATGAGGGAGTGGATGAGCTGTTTAGTAGTTTCTTAGTAGGTTATATGGTTTCTAATGGCATAGTTCACACCAGTGCATTCAGTTCCAGAACTAAAAGTACCACATGCTGCATTTTTCTGCTCTGAACTGTACTGAAACGTCGTAAAATTATAATTATTATTATTATACAGTATTTATATAGCGCCAACGGTTTGCTCAGTGCTGTACATTGTAATGGGAGACAATACACAAGACAGTACAGTAACAATACAATACACGAGGTGGTTCGAGGAAAATGCATCTAAACGCAGTGGAATTCAGCTAAATGCACCACAATGCTCATGTCAGGGATGTATTTACCACAAGGCAAACAAGGCATTTGCCTAGGGTGGCATTTTTCAGGGGGGCAGCACCCCCCTCAAAAAAGGGACATGTGCGGCATGGGGACCAGGTAGGATCTGAAAGAGGCTGCGGGCTGCTTGATGGTGTATGCAGAGCCCGACTCTCATTCCTGGGGATGTCCGGAGCTGTGAAGGTGAGTGTCTTTCTCTCTGTTGCCGCGAGGGGTCGATTGGGGCGGTGGGGGATGGTGGGGGGGTGTTAGTGGAAGGCCCTCTCGGGTAGGGGGGGGCAAGGGTGTCGTTGGTCACTGTCAGGCTCTCTCCGGGGGGGGGAGTCTAGTGTTGGTCGGTGTCAGGCTCTCTCCAGGGGGGGGGGGGTCTGGTGTTGGTCAGTGTCAGGCTCTCTCCACCGGGGGGGGCGTCTGATTTTTGTGTTGCATAGGCAGCAAAAAACTTAAATACACCCCTGGCTTATGTCCTTATGTATAATGAAGATGTAAAGAGAGTAAAAATGTAATGAGGTAAAAAATGCATAAAAATCGCACATTTTACATCATCACATCCCTTGCTGACGGCACGTCCGGTCTGGCGCCATCTTGCATTCCACGCTGGTTAATGCGGCGGTCGGCCGCACAGGGGCGGACTGACAACTCATGGGGCCCCCGGGCAATAGGAGATCATGGGGCGCCTGTGTCCTTGCCCAAACTCAAAAAAGCCTATGAAAAAGTACCAGGGGCATCTCATGGGGCCCCCTACTGACCCCGGGCCCTTGGACAGTGCCCAAGTTTCCAAATGGTCAGTCCACCCCTGCGGCCACATTAGGACGCTGTTCTTGCTCCCCACTCAGCTACGCACAGACCACCTGGTACCGTCCATCCCTAGGGTATCCAGACATAAAACTGACATGCCTGTCTTTGTCTGCTCTGCAGTAAGTTGCCAAATGTATGTTTTTAATAAAAATTTCCTATTAATGTCACACTTAGTCTGGCGCCCCTCACTTCCTTCTATAAAAATCGCATAGCAAACGTGTCAAAAATGCACGTGCAGAAACGCATCCAGACTGCTTTTCTATGGTGTGTGAAGCCTATCTGAGCGCAAAAACAAAATGTAATATATTGTAAGT